TATGACAATTTTTATGGCGGTTGTTAAACGAATCATGAGGTTGTTAAGCGAATCTAGTTTCCCCAAGTTTTCTTTTTTTGTGAAAATCAGCAAAAAAGGTCTCAAATCACAATTATGCGACCCTAGAATTCAGGGACAGTCACAAATATGAGCTGGATGTCAAGCACCCCAAATACAATCATATGATTGTGGGTGTGGGTGTGTGACACCATAAGTGTGAGTGCAAGTCACAAGTCACCAACCTAGCTTAGAACCGTTGTTAAATGAACAGTTGTAATTTCAGGTCTCAACATTTTAAATTGTGAAGAACGGTAGCATAAAGCACCCATCATATCCAGCGCTAGGTTGTGTTGCCTTGCAGCCAGAATAGCTTTTTGATGCTTTACGGTAGTGACACAATTGCCTTTTTTTTTTGGTTTGGCTAGTGCCGTCATGAAAATAATTTTCTGCGGTGTTCTTGGATTTCACTTATACTATTTGTACATTCGTAAGGGCTTCTTCTGATTTTTCCCACACAATAGCTCATATCTATCCAAGTTTTTTGTCCTCATGGCAAACTTGTTCATTTAAATGGAGAAAGATTTTGGCTGACTCTTTATACGTCCGCACTCTATTTCATAACCATTTCTAGGTTGACTTTTTAAGCTTTAAAATCTGTTAAAACCCAAGAAATTGCATGTTCCGGCTCCCATCTATAAATTCATGACACTTTTGGGAACCAAAGAGACATAGCTCCTTCCCTCTTGACTAACATTACTCCAGAGCAATAGTTGTTAAACTGAGGTAATCTGGGCATATCCTAGGGTTAATATGGATCCATTTATTTGTTTGAGAGTCAAGGATGCAGTTTGGGAACTGCCACTGCCAAGATCCTTATATAAAGCAACAACATTTGGGATTTTATTTTTTGAAGGGGGGTGGTAATGACATTATCAAGATTAGGGGAAAATGGTCACTGAGTCCAACAGTTTAAGAACCACTTCTCCAGAGATTTGAACAGTTCTATCTCTGCTTTTTTTCAAGCAAACTCTGAAAATTTAGCTGTTTCCCCAGGCCTTGAGCCAGAGTGGGGTGTGTCTCCACCAAGGGATTGAGTTTGCATGCAGTGTTAGCATTATGGCTGTTCCTCTTGTTATCACCATCTTTTCTGAAGAGGGTGTCTTGAATGTGATTGTTTTTTAACTTCGTACTGCACCCACGATCAGTGAGTTTTGGATGGCCCTAGAAATCTCAGTTAGCCTTTTTTTAAACTATAAAAACCAGGCAGCGACTCTTAGTTGCTCAAGCTCATGCCCCTCCATTCCGTAGCAAATTTCCAACCATTTTCTTGATGGGAAAATAAAAGAAAGCAAAATCAAAGTACGTGAGGATTTCAGAAAAGCAAAAGCATTTTAAACAGTTATTAAACTTGCTTAACATTTCCAGAACAAAATTAAAAACAATGAGAGAAAGACCCTTCGTCTTGTAGACAGCACAGGATCTCCTGAGGGTTCATTCAGCTACTGAACATAACAGGGAAGAAACCTTGATCCCGAACTAAATAATTAGTATTTTACACCATCTTTTCCCTTGAATGTAGAGAAGAAGACTGACAGTATCTTATAACATTTCTAGGGAATTTAAAGAGCTTCTCCCAATAGATGAAGGAGTTGACCAGGCTGAGACAGAGGGAAGGATCTATCGCAGTGGTGGCAAACCTTTTTTGGCTCCTGTGCTGATAATTGTGTGCACGCTCATGTGCTCGTGCACCAGCACCCAGAAGGCAATGCGTGCTGCCCCCCTACACCCCTGCGCATGCACGCGCAATCCCCCTGCCGTGTACTGCGTACCTGCACCTGTGCACACGATTCCCCCGCCGCGCACAGTGCATCTCTGCACATGCATGCGAGATCACCCCCGGGCACCATCCATCTGTGCATGTGCGCGTGATCCCCCCCACGACTCTACGCATGTGCGCATGACTCAAGCACTCCCCCGGTGCATGCATGCCAGATACCTGACAATCAGCTATCGGACGGTGGCGGCGTGTACACCTGCGCAGTGGGTTTCTTCCGGGCGAGCTCTTGCATGCCGGCAGAAGTGGCTCAGCGTGCTACTTCTGGCACACACGCCATAGGTTCGCCAACACGGATCTAGTGTGTCATAAGTCATAAGTCGCTGTGTGCCCACAAGACATCTACATTCAGTCCAGTTTGAATGCCTCTTTTATTTCCCACACATTTCTTTTAATGGTCAGTTGGCCAGATTCTTGTAGAAAGCTTATGCTTGCAATAACTCTTTATACTCATTTGAACAGCCTGAATCTGCTGACTTCCCAGGCACTTGACATTAATCTGACCAACTAACAGTCAAGGAAAATGTGCAGGAGATAAGACAGGTATTTGAGGTGGGACTCAGATCTCTTGCGGGCACTCAGGGACTTGTGATTTATGACGCTTTCGACTTCTCCCTTGGGTTCAGCCTGGTAATCATAGTGAGGACCATGGAATGCATATGGTTACAGCCAATTCAGATTTAATCTGAATCTTGAAGGACATTCCTTTGAGCAACCCTGGATTCTGGCCTACAATTTCCAGTTGGCATCATCTCCCACCTCCTTATTCATGAACTGAGAAGGTGATTTGGGGCGTTAGTAGGGCTGTAGCTTCGTATAAAGTCATCATTTGATATTCTTGTAATGATACCTTCTCTCTTGTTGTGCGTTGTAATGAACATTAAGTCTTTATACTGTAGTTAATGTGTTTTAAGGCTTGAGGTTTTTCTTAACGTTCATTTTTCTGCTTGTTGGAGTAGCAGGTTTTATAATTGTGAAAAGTAAAGCGATGTGTGATTGATAAAATAAAACAGAGAAGATTCTCTTGAAAATAAAATTCTTCCTGAGACATAATTAATCTGTGAATATATAAGTAGGGGGTTGATTACAAAGTAATTAAAAGATCACCTTTACTTTCCTCTTTCCAGCTGCTACCTATCTATTTCTGTCTCCGCAGGTTTTCCCTAGTTTAATATTCTCTTTTGCTAAACTAACTTATCCCAGCCATGTGTCATCTTTGCAAAGCAGGATAATTGTTCTTCTGAATCATAGATCTTGCTTGTTGTCTTCTATACAGATAACATGATTAAGATGTGCTATACTCTTGGATTTACTAGTCATAAAGTTAAGCAGGAAGGAATAATGGAGACTTCCTTGTAATGAGCCAGGCCACAGCTTTAACCATGTTAAGTCTTGACTACATTTTCTGATTGAGGCTTAATAATAATATTCTATATAGGGGTGTTTTCAGTGCTACATGGAGATGCTAAAGATGAAATCTAATTGTTGCTTTGTATACAAAATAGGTCCTTGGTCACTGAACAACAAGCCTTTTTCATTTATTTAGAAATATTCTAAATCTTATGGGCCAATTCTGGGAAGGCTTCCCATTATGCAGTTTGGACAAAGTTCTGTTTCTTAACAAAAGGCAGCAGTGGCCAAATCTCCAGTAAATAGGGGAGAAAAGAACAACAGAAGTTTGATTTGGTCTCTACAGGATGGATGGGGTTTCAAGCATCATGTTCCTTCTTTTAATAACTGTGTCCTCCAGATGTGTTCGCCTGTGGTGGGATTCAAATATTTTTACCACCAGTTCGGTGGGCGTGGCTTGGTGGATGTGCTTTGCACATGTGTACACTCTTGGCGTGTATGCATGTACCAAATGCGAACTTTGCGCAGGCACAGAGGCGTTCTAACTTGCCTCCTGCACACCTGCACGATCCCGGTCGCTTCAGCAGCTGCCGCATGGCACTCTTCTGTGCCGCGTAAAGCAGCTGTGTTTCAAATTCAGCGGATAAAGGTGACTATGGGAGCCTGGGCCGGTGGGTGGGCCCAACAGCAGAGCAGTGGAGAGAACTGGTTCGGTCTCCGCTGCTCATCGCTGCTACCAGCTCTGCAGAACCGGGCCGAACCAGAAGAATACCACCACTGGTGTTCGGGCAATGGTGGATCACTATTCAGTTGAGTTCTTTGAGCACTCTCCTGTTTTGAAATAGCTTCAGGACCAGGATTCATTGTTGAATCACTAAATACAAATAGGCTTCTTTATTGGAGAAGGAGATCAGATTGTGGTAGAGGTAGTCCTTGACTTACAATCACTGGGATTGCCATGATAAATTGGTGTGGTCATAAAACAAGGTGTCAAATGACTGCAAGGACTTACAACAAAAGTGTCAAACTCGTGGCCGTCAGGGGACATTTCACGACATTTCCCCCCTTCGTGGAGCTTGGGTGGGTGTGGCCTGTACATGACACATCTGGCCCACGGGCTGCCAGTTTGACACCCTGGATTTACAGTGACAATCCCAGCAATTTGTGGTCCTTGAGAATTGTGGGTTAAGCGAGTACTCATCCCAATCCAAGTCATTCCAGGAGTGGTCTCTTCCAACTGCGGACCTCAGTAAGGTAAGGCAATTGCTGGCACAGGTCATAGGTCATTTTTTCCTGCACCATTGTAAGTTTGAATAGTCACTGAATGAATGATCGTAAATTGAGGACTACTTGTATATTTTAAATATTGTAGCCACAAAACAGAAGTTGTTGCTGCAATGTTTAAAGTTTCTTTGTTCCACAGATGTACATCTTGACCACTACAGCTTACAACAAACTATTTGACCCCCCCCCCCCCACGTGAAAATGGGTTTTATGGATAGTTTACTGATAATGGCATTCAGGCTGAATCTCAGAGCTCGATCATGTATGAACAGAAATACGCTTTGATATAGCCAATATGATGCAGTGGTTTGGAATGTTGGATTTGTTTTCAAATTTCTTCTTGTCTATCAGAACCACGGTATGACTTCGGCCTACTCAATCAACTGTCAGCCAAACACTTTTCACAGAGTAAATATAAGAAAAGTAGGTCAGTTTCATTTACTCCACACCGGTCAGCAGTAGACTGATCAATTCTTGTTCTGTATCTATATTTTGTTAAAAAGCTAACATCTTTTTCCTCTGTCCAATACAGAAATACCAAGACATGGCAGAAAAAGCTAAAGAGAAGTTCTCTGCTACTGAAAAAGTCCAAGAGCAATTACTCCTTGAAAATTCGCACCTTAAAGCTTTGTTGACGCAAACTCAGAAAGAACATAGATCTCTGCTGGCGGCTTGCGCGCTGTTGTCTGGGGCACTGTATCCTCTGTACTGTCGGTCCTGCGCCCTCTCGACCCAGAGAGATGTTCTTCAGGATCAGGTCAACACCTGTGACATGTTCAAGCAAGAAATCAGGGCACTGGCCAGTGCATTGTGTGAAACTGAGGAGAGGAAGCAAAGCAAGGGGAAGAAGAAAAGGCATTCCAGAAGCTGGATACACATTTTCCGAAAAAGTGTTATTGCGGTGCTGGCTGTCCACAGGCTTCAAATTTTATGCAGCCAGTCGTGCAGCTGCCTTTTCTCCTGGGTAGATGGTGTCAGAGAAGGCATAGGAATCCCTGTCTGCATTGGAGATTCCAAGGATGTGCATAGTCTGTCAAGTAAGATAGCAAGCTGATGTTTTATATAGGTTGTGTCAAACTATACTTTTAGTACCTACCATCCTACTAGGCAAAGGCAATGGGGGTGGGGGTGGAAGCAGATGCTTCACAATTTGAAAGGAGAAATTACGTTTAAGTTGTCAAAACTAAATTTAGCAAGTGAATTAAATCAACGGAAACCCCCAGCTTTGGTGCTAAATGTACTGGAATGTTTGTTACTGAATTGATAGTAAACTGGAGCTGAACTAAATTGCATCTGGATGAGATCGCATGCTAAGTAAGAAACAACTATGATGCTTGGGTTCAAATGTCTTATTAAGCTATAAAGAAGGAAATCTTTTAATAGTAATTTTATTAAAAGTTACAATTAAAAAGGTAAACTAATAGAAACTAAAAATAATAAAAGAAAACAGAAAGTGAAGAAAAGAAAAAATAGAAAAAAATAAGAATATAGTAAAGAAAAAAATAGCAAAATGACTTTTTCCTTCATCACAAGTTTAAACAAATGTTAGCAACTTAATCACCTTCTCTTAAAATACAACTAATTGTTTTTTTTCCCCTACATATAACATGTAAAAAAAATCTTATCTGTAAAAAAAAAAATCCTTAAAGGTTGTTCTTTCAGTCCTGGTCATCAAACATCCTTGTGGTGAGATGGGCTGAAAACAAATTAAACAAACAACAAACAAAGGGTTACAGAGATGACATCATAAATATTTTAACTTTGATCAAATAAAACAACCTTATATTCCTTCCTTTTACTTTTAATAATCGTTATCTTTAGTCCTTTCAAATAATGTCCTGGTAGTTTACATTTACATTTTTTCTTTTTTCACAAAATTCTTCAGTGCTTTAACAAACCTCTTTTGTAAAAAAAAATTATCCAGGTCACGCTCTTGGTTTTTTATTTTTATATCCCTTTTTATTATTGAGAGATCAGTTAGCTTCTTCTGTATGTCAGTGTAGCAGCTTTTTCCATATGATTCTTGTAGTCTTTCCTTTTTAAATCCATTTTAAGATCAATCTCAATCTTGTCAAGTAAAACTTGTTCCTCTTTTGTAACTGCTTTGAAACACAGTCTTTCTACAGAGGCAGACACGCTTAAAATTAACTTGTGAGTACATTGTTCAAAAATGAATTTGCCTATTCATTCATTTTATTTCATGTGAAGCTTTAGCTCCATCACTTACACTGGACGTATCTAATAGCTATACTTTTAATTTCTGATTTCATGTGAAAATAGTTTGTTTCAGCTTTCAAATATATTAGAAGTATTTTTATGTGCATTTTTGGGAATTGAAATAGCTTCTTTTCCAAGAACAATATGAAAATAAGAATCCAGGAAAGTTTTTAAAGTATATTCTAATTTATTATATTAAAATCAAGATTAAATGTGTCCACTTCTGATTTCATACCAAGCTATAATGAATTGTGTAAATAATAATGTCTGTTTCTATAGGATGGAACAAATTCATTTTTTTCCTTCTCTTTTGTGATGCAGGACAACAAAAGGAGCAGATTCGCTGCCTCCAAGCATTCAGTTGGTTTACCAGTTGTGACCTTCTTACTGCAGTCCTTAGTTCTATGGATGAGCTACAAGAAGTAATTAACAAGGCAGGTAATGTCTGAGCTTCTTCATTGGTCTGACCTTGATAAATCAACTCCTTTTTTTTAAAGGGGCAAACTTTTGATAGCATAGACTACTATTACCTAGAAATAAGCGAACTGGCTATAATTATAGATGGATGTTCTTATGGGTATTTGGAAGAACCAGAATGGTCTAAATCAGGGGTAGTCAATCCTTTTATACCTACCACCCACTTTTGTATCTTTGTTAGTAGTAAAATCAGTAATGCTGATTTATAAAGTAGGGGACAAAACCCCTACCGCCCACCATGAAAGCTGGAACGCCCACTAGTGGGCGGTAGGAACCAGGTTGACTACCACTGGTCTAAATCAATGCAGAGTTCTATCAATAGCTACAAAGAGAATATGAGCCTGATGAATCGATTCATAACATGCTTCCTCCTTTCTTATTAGGCTAGGATATGTTTTCAGTTGTGACCGCTGTAATTTAAGAAAAGGTTTCCAAACTGTCAATTAGGACGTCCTGAGCAGTTTTGACACACTTTTTTTTTTTAAATCAGACTCTCCCAGGAAGAATGAAAACACTGTCAAAAGTTGCTCGGAGTCTGCTTAGCCCACTGCCTAAGCAAGCTGGCTGCAGACTTGCCTAAGCAATAAGGGTTCATTTTGTCAGTGTCCCTGCTTTGTTGGTGCAGGCAAAGCAGGGAGGCTTTCAAAACTCACTTTAGGCTCTGCCTATGCAGATGTGCAGTGGGCATGGTATAGTATAGTAGCCAGGGGTGGGATTCAACCAATGTAACAAAAGTGTGCGGGCACGCCAAACACACGCTTTGTGCGCGGCATGCAGCATTTGCAACTCACCTTCTGCTGGAAGCCCTGTGTGTAAAACAGCTGACATGCAGCAATCCGCTGTGTTGTGTGAATCAGCTGAGCTGGAAACCCCCGGAAATAAAGCACAGACTAGAGTTGAGTCAGGCGGGTGATCCTAACAGCTGATCGTTGGAACGAACCGGTTCTCCCAAACCAGGCTGAACCGGTAGAATCCCACCCCTGATAGTAGCCCAGGGTCAAAAAAAAATCCTTGACTTAAGCCGTTATATCAGAATTCATTTACAGAATTCCTGCACTGACATAAGGGATGGTCAATACTGTCTTTTCAAATGCATTTTCAAAATTGAAAATTGGAAAAAAGAAGGAGTCACCAGGGAAAATGTGACTTACTTGAGAAATACAGATGGTTTTAATAAAAGAGCTGGATTATAAGCATTGGTTCATGACTCTGGTCAACCACTTTGCTTGGAGTAACAGTGGTGATAAATGCAGCGAGAATAAGTGATGCAGGAGTGTTCCATGTTACTAGCAGTTAACATCTGAACACCTCCATGCATTACAGTTGGCAACTTTTAGAGGCAAATACAGCAATGGAACACATGACATCTTGTGCTCATCCACATGTTCACACTATGAGTATGCTCCATAAATGAATGTCTTATACACACAAACTTCAGGGAATTAAAATGTAGATGAAAAGCAGATACCCGTAGTCCTTGACTTATAACAGTTTGTTTAATGACCATTCAAAGTTACAACGGCGCTATAAAAAGTGACTCATGACCATTTTTCATACTTACAACCGTTGCAGCATCCCCATGGTCATGTGATTTACATCCAGATGCTAGACAACGGACTCATACTTATGACAGTTGCAATGCCCTGGGGTCATGTGATTCCCTTTTGCAACCTTCTGGTGAGCAAAGTCAATGGGAAAGCTAGATTCATCTGACAGCCGGGTTACTAACTTAACTTAAGTGCTATGATTCACTTAACAAATGCGGGAAGAAAAGTTGTATAATGGGGCAAAACTCACTCAACAAATGTCTCACTTACCAACGTAAATGTTGGGCTCAATTGTGGTCGTAAGTCGAGGTCTACCTATACTGAATAAGCCAGTTAGTGTGAAAAATTCCAGCAATAAAGGCCATGGTTCACTCGAGATGTTGAACATCTAGGAACATCTCCAGAATCTTTTATTTGTGCCAAAAACTGATGTCTACGGACTGGAGGTTGTGGCTGAGAGGCTGCTGACCAATATTCACATATAATACTCTGTGTAGAACTCTTTCTGCACACGCGGCCTGTTTTTTTCAGTTCACTCATTGAAGCCTTATTTTTCTTGTTGTTAGTCGCGAAGTCGTGTCCAACCCATCGCGACCCTATGGACATCTTTCCTGCAGGCCTTTCTGTCCTCTACCATATTTTGGAGTCTGTTTAAGCTCAGGCCGACTGCTTCAGTGACTCCATCCATCCACCTCATTCTCTGTCATCCCATTCTTCTTTTCCCTCAATCGTTCCCAGCATTGGGCTCTTCTCCAGTGAGTCCTTCCTTCTCATGAGGTGGCCAAAGTATTTGAGTTTCATCTTCAGGATCTGGCCTTCTAAAGAGCAGTCAGGATTGATCTCCCCTAGGACTGACAGGTTTCACCACCTTGCAGTCCAAGGGATCCTCAGGAGTCTTCTCCAGCACCATAGTTCAAAGGCCTCAATTTTTTGGCGCTCAGCCTTCCTTATGGTCCAACTTTCACAGCCATACATTGCAGTTGGGAAAACCATAGCCTTGACTATACACACTTTTGTTTGCAGGGTGATGTCTCTGGTTTTTAGTAGGCTGTCTAGATTTGCCATAGCTTTCCTCCCCAGGAGCAAGGGTCTTTTAATTTCTTGGCTGTAGGCCCCAACTGCAGTGATCTTGGAGCCCAGGAAAATAATATCTGTCACTTACCTCCATTTCTTTCCCATCTATTTGCCAGGAATTGAGAGCGCCGGATGCCATGATCTTAGTTTTCTTAATGTTGAGTTTCAGAAGCCTTATTTTAGGTTACTATGATCTTTTACCATTTAAGAAATGTATCTTGGCATGCCTGTGCAAGGTGAAAAATATTTACACTTTGCACTGGTTCTGTTTGGTCAGAATGCATTTCTAAATCAGTTTGGGGTACGGTGGTGGTGGTGGTGGAGGGGATTGCAGCTTGTTCAAACATAGTTGGTGAAGCAAAGATGAATTCCACGGAGGGCTCCAGATGGCACATCTTCAAATCCATCTTCAACGAGGCAAGGAGCTTTATCCTTCTAAGTTAAAACATACAACAACAATCCATGATTTGAAGGGCGCTGCAAGTCGTTTCATGCGTCAAAGGGTACTTGGGTCTTGCTTGTTTTGAAACCTCCTCCAAACAGAAGGTGGTTTCAAACTAGTTAGATAGGATGTTGAGGTCTGCTGTTCAAAGATACATATAAACATACAATCCCACTGGGCACGTCACACAATCTCTCGAGTGCACGTGAAGTAGCTTTCTGGAACCAGGCCACGGAATTTATTCTTACACTTTTAAACACCAGACTCAAGTTTAAAGGGAAGCCAACGTTATGTTGATTTGACAGAGCGAGTGTGAACATTTTGCAGTTCTGAATTTCAAAAGTCCATGATCTTTTTGGCATATAAATATCAGGAAGGAATTTTACCCTCTTCCTCCTCCTCCTCCTCCTCCTCCTCCTCCTCTTCCTCCTCCTCCTCCTTTGTGAGGAAGATAAATGCATGCCATTCTCCCGTCACCCAAGTAATATTTGTCACTTTTCATCGGGCTTTGCTTCACTTGCTTCATTTGTTTGTTGCTCTTTGTACTGTAACCGTTTGTATAAGACATTTCTCACACACTCATCATAACATAAATTATTTAGTGCTTTTACTGTAATTCCTAGATATTTGTGGCCAGGTACTTAAAGTGTATATATTCTTTTCCCTCTGGTTATAGATACAGCAGAATACAGTACCTTCTGGAATTGTGTTCTATTCTCATTTCACCTCTCAAAACCATGAATGATTCTAACTCATACATTTCTTTGTTTTAGTCAAAACCATTATCCATTATGCTTTGCTTTTAGATAGTGTATATTTTTCCGTCCTAGATAAGTTTTCTTTCCCGCCCCCCCGTCTCTTTTTAACCCTCCAGATCTGTCTGGCGAGCCTTAAATACAAGATTGTTCTAATATTAACCTGAAAATTGTGTTTATTAGAGTCTGAACTTCTAATTTTAAATGGAATGATGTGGTTAAGTACTATGATATTTCAACCTGTGTGATTCTAGTATTTGACCAGATTACAGTTTTCTTTAAAGCTTTATTTAAAGATAAAAAACATATTTAAAACATCATATTTTATTATTTAATTCAATCCATCTCCCAGTCTCTGATTCCAAACATGGCTAGAAAAGCTAAGAATTTTACATAACTGTTTTAACATTTCTAGTTGGTATTTAAGGTCAGATTCCAGCAGTTGGTGCTTTCCAAATGTTTCAAACCATATTTTTCAGAATTCTAGAAGTTTCCAAAGTAGTCTGAGGTGCATAAACTTATGCACTCAGAGAAGAACCCTACCTTGTCACCTAGGCCACCATTTCTGAAAACAATATGACTTTTAAAACCCAATTTGTAATGAAAGATGAACGGTCCATAAATCAAAGATTTCTCCAACAAATAAATGAATAAATGAATCTCTCCCTCCCTCTGAGTAAGCCAGCCAGCAAACTTTGGGTCTCTGCCAAGGTGACATGTAATTGGAAAATATTATTTTATATATGAACAAGTTTTGTACATGCTAAGATTTTTAAAAAATGAATGCTGCGCTTATTATTTCATAGAAAATAAATTGATTCATCAGCACCTACTTTATTCAGATGTTAGCAGATCTGTTTCCATCTGGTAGCAGATGGAAAGAATTTTCTGGAAGTCTTATTTGTATTTCATTTTACCTAGAAAATGGGAACCCCTTCATTTTCATTCTTCGCAGTGTGTGTATATGAGAATACATATGCCCGCAGGAATCTGGCTTGCTCTGAAAATACGCCTTGAGAGGCTTTCTGCTTTAAACTTTAGAACAAATATTTTAATTCTCTACAGCAACAAGAGATCTGGTATTCTCCTGAATGAATATAAGCTCTGCCATGGTTGTCATCTTACCCTGATAATATCACAAGACAAGTAATGACAGATTAAGGCCTGACTTGCAGAGGGGAAACTAAATTACAAGACTTTTATTAAGGCATAAATAAACCTATTAACCATTATCTAGAATACCAATTAGTAGAAGGAGCACTGACAATTTTATTTATCAACATTAAACACAATTATTAATTACAGACCTGACGAATCTACCAGTAAGCAGAACATGTTGGGTGTGCTGGAGGCTTAAGCCCATTATATGAGAAGGCTGATTACCAGAATCCTATGGGGAAATAAGTAATTGTAGTTGTAAAATTTTAATTGCCTTGGAATAAGGTAAATTATATTCTCTTGTCTTAGAATATAAATAGTGTGGCATTAAGGTACAAGCCTCAGTAATTTTAAGCAGCACATGATTTAGACATCTAAGCTATAAGGAAAGAAAAAGAAACAGTTATATTTGTAGCAGTTACTTATTTTCTGTTTTGAATTAGTAAATTCATTGATACTGATAAGCAGCTTTGAGTCTGCTTCTCCAGCAAGTCTTGGGTGTCATATATTGTTACCTTTGGATTAACGAAAGAACAAAAATGCCGCAGGGTTGCATAAGGGCATACAGTTGTTTCAACCATTCCATTCTTTTTCTTGAACCCAGTGCCTGTTATTGAACATGGAAGTGCAATCTGAATGGTTGTTAATAGGAGTTTAATATCTCTATCTGTGAAGTATAATATCTCTATCTGTAAAAGCTGGATAAAAAAAATCTTTCTCATCAACAGCATTGTCTTGTTGCAGATGGCTTACTGGTCAAGGTGACATAGGTCCAAAGCGACGCGAACCTCCTATTCCAAGAATATTTGCATCACACCTTTTAAGAGGTTTACTTAGAAAGTTATATTAGACCTTTTCTAAAATTCAAATGAATTTTCATGCAGAATATTCTGCAGAGAGCGCCCGGTTTTGATTGTAAACTGAATTGCTTGAAACCTCTTTGCTAAAAGAGGTTTTGAGAAGTCAGCTATGGGGTAAACAATCCTCTTTTCTTTTTTTCTATCCAGTAGAAATTCAGTAGGCCTTAATCAGCTTTCAGTGAAATTGCTTAGAATGCAATGGGAGCTTTAAGAAGACTCTACCCCGTGATGGCAAACCTATGGCACGCATGCCACAGGTGGCACGCAGAGCTATTAATGCGGGCATGCAAGGAAATACCAGAAGTGCCGAAATGGGCCCATTTTCAGCCTCCCGAGATTCCCTCGAGCCTCCAGGAGGGAGAAAATGGCCTCCCCCGGCCTCCAGAGATCTTCTGGAGGCTGAAAACAGACATTTCCGGTATTTCCCAGAAGGCCCGTTTTTCGGCCTCCTGAGCAGAGGCTTCCCTTGAGCTTCCTGGAGGGCGAAAACAGCCTCAAACGGACCAAAAATCAGCTGGGAGGCACGCACATGTGCAGTGCAGGTAAGGGGGCAGGGCGGAGGTGTTGGTTGTGCATGCGCAGGAGGGTGGGGTGCATTGCACTGTGGGTGCCGGCACCCACGTGCTATCATGCACATGCACACTTTTGGCACATCACAACAAAAAGGTTCTCCATCTACCCTATGCAGGAACTTGTCAGCGATTATTACCTTCATCAGATATTGCCAACCCTTTCTTTTTTTTGTTTAATGTATCCACAAATACAAACCAACTCTATTTACAGACTGGTTCTTTTTCTTTCAAAGATATGAAATCCTGGCTTTCGGGGCACTTGCTCACCAATGCAGCAAAAAATTCATTTTCAAAACTTATGGAGAAACTTTGCGTCGTGATGGAAGTTACTCCAGTGGACAGCAGTCGGAGTATGACTTATGTAGAGAAAAACTCCTTGGTTCAAAGGCTGGCTCGTGGGCTCCATAAAATAAACGCCCAGACCCTTGAAGCAGGCATAACTGACAGGACCCCTGCTACGGTTGGTATGGGTACGATCAGTTACATGATGGAAGCTTTCCCATTGTGTTGGTTTTCGAAATGTTAATCCTTTCTTAGTTTAGTTTACATAGCACTCCTCAGTCTGCTCAGCTCCCTAAAGGAAAACTGAGGAGGTGCAAGACAAGAGGCAATATTTTTCAGACTTTCCTTCAATTTGATATTATTTCAGTAATTCTTTCCCCCAACCTTTTACATCCTTTCTGTCATTTGCCGCTCAAGGCAATGCGTGTAGTGTTCTTTTAAAATACCCCTGTAAGGTAATGGATGATTTTAATTTCAAAAACCCTGTGATTACCCACTGCATATTCGGGATGCATGCTGTTTCCAAAGACATTTCTCCCCCCAAAATACAGTAATTGCTCTTCATGCTTATTTTCATTTTCAGAAAATACCTTCTCTGCGTATGTGTGTATATATGTGTGTATATGTATTTGTGTGTGTGTGTGTGTGTGTGTGTGTGTATAAAACTTGTTTCCCCCAAAATACGACCTACCCTGAAAGTAAGTTCTAGCTTGATTTTTACACATGGACCCAATATAAGCCCTACCCCAAAATAAGCTCTAATCAAAATACCACCTTTTCCAGTGTACATGGGTAAAAACTAAGCTAGGGTGGGGATGGAGGGTGTGTGGAGCTGCCCTACTACTTACTTTGGACAGTTGTAGCCAGGCCTCGCACACCCCGACGCCTGCCTTGCCAGCCCATTTCTTCTGCAGCTGGTAAGGCTTTCCTCAAGGCCTCTGTAGCTGATAACAAAGCTCTTTATCGGCTACAGACGCCTTCAGGAAAGCCTTGCTAGCCACAGAAGAAGTTCCTGAAGGCCTCTGACAGTGAAAAGGAGGTCGGGGGGACGACGTGCACGAGTGAGGTTAGTCAGTGGATGACATCCCCTGAAAATAAGACCTGGTTGCCTTTTTTTCTGTGGCAAAAAATAAATAAAAATAAGACAGGGTCTTATTTTGGGGAAAACATGGTGTGTGTACACACACACATATACACACACACTTTTTTTAAAGAGTTGCTTTGAGAATACTTACATTTTTGGGTGAATTTAGAAAAGGGGAGCTTCGTCTTAATTTGCTCAGGTGTTCAAAACTATTGATTTATTGCCTAACCAACCAGTATTTTCTAGATAACACATTGTTCCTGTTTTTTTTTAATGCCAGAAAACCGTAGCATCCTTGCAGAAGCAGATATTTGAATTTACACAAAGGCTGCACACGGCAGAAGTAGAACGGCGGTCACTGCGCTTGGAGCTCACAGAATTCAAACGGAATTTGAATGAGATGAAGAAAGAGGCTGACAAAGCTCATAGTTTGCAAGAGCAATTATATGTGTTTAAGCAATCCGTAAGTCTATTTGATTAGAAGGAGGGAGGGAATAATCAGCTTTAAAGGAGGGGATTCTATTTAGCATCCTTTAAATATCCATTGGAGAACCTCTACCTTCTTAGATGGGATTCTTCATTCTTGCTTCCCCTCACACATGCACAAAGCCCCTCTCTATGTCTTGTCAATTCTCAGCTGGGAGTTAGCTCTATTAAAAGAAAAGGCCAAAGTTACTCCTGGTAAAATTAGTCCATTATGTTGCAGAATAAGGTACAGTAGATTGAGTCAATAATCTATTCAGAAAAGCTGAATTCTTGGTCGGTTAAATTAGGCTGTTTGCACTGTGGGAGAACTGGAATTTGAAAACTCAAATGATGTATGGATAACATAACTCTTACTGTTTTTATATACCATTCTGCTTGTATTGCACGCTGCATTTTGCAAACGGTTGGCAAAATTGTCAAATAAAGCAAGTTTTCCTCACATGCTGCAAAAGATCTATGTTTCTACCAGGTCTGCAATAAGATTGAACAGGTGATCTAATGGGGATTATTACCCGGCAGCTGTAGATGGGAAGTATTTGCTACTGCTTCATGTGACTGGAGGTGATCACCATTCACAAAGGCCCACATGTTGTCACATATAATAGCTTGGATCTCTGAAGGCTTTTCCCATACATGTCGATATTGCTGGTGTCCAGGACCTCTGGCCACATATCTTCCAGAAGTAGTCTGAATTTCTGGAAACTTTGACAATACTAAAAAGGGATAGCTTCGGAACAGCCCTATTGATTTTAAATACAGCCATAATTAGAGCAGTGATGATCCTTAAAAAGAGGCAGGTTTTCCAGACTATATTAATAAAGGAAGCAAATAAGGTAGCACTCCTGTAATCCTTGCTTGTCTGTTCCTTAATTTAGACTAGGGATGTCAAACTCATGTCCTAGCGGTGCCTTGTGACATATCGGGACTTTCCCCCCCTTCGCTAAACCGGGCGTGGGTGTGCGTGACGCAAGGCCAGGAGTTTGACAGCCCTGATGTAGACTGTCTTGAAAGGCTGACGCTTATGTGGTGGGATTTTTCTGTTCCTTTTTATTGCAGTTGGTAGAAATGTAATCCACCTCTCCCAGCAGAAAATGCAGAGAGCAAAGTTCCATTTTATAAAACAATCTTAGAGCCCCAGTAAAACTGTAGTTTGATATCTAGCTCTACAGGTAGTCCCCAACTTATAACAGTTCAAAGTGACTATTCAAAGTTACAATGGCGCTGAAAAAAATGATTTATGACCATTTTTTTCACACTTTACAATCTTTGTAGCATCCCCATGTTCATGTGATCAAAATTCAGATGCTTGGCAAGTGATTCATACTTATGACTGTTGCAGTGTCACAAGGTCATGGGATCACCTTTTGCAAACCTTCTGACAAGCAAAATCAACAGGGGAGCCAGATTCACTTAATGGCTGTCTTACTAACTTATCAACTGCAGTGATTCGCTTAACAACTGTGGCAAGAAAGGTCGTAAAATGGGGCAAAACTCCCTTAACAAATGTCTCATTTAACAACCAAAATTTTGGCCTCAATTGTGGTCGTAAGTCGAGGACTACCTGTATTAAATGGAGAGGCAAACTTTTAACTGCCATTTATTTCATTTAGTCTTGCAACATGTAAATCAGAAGTGGGATTCAAAAATTTTTTCCACTGGTTCTGTGGGCATGGCTTGGTAGGTGTGGAAGGAGAGGGATACTGTAAAATTTGCATTCCCTCCCCACTCCTGAGGGAAGGTTACTGCAAAATCCATTCCCTCATCACCCCACTAACCTGCTTTCCAGCTCCATTCTCCTGTGCAGGGCAACCAAAGAAGACCCAGCCAATCAGCTGAGACTCAGGAGGCAGAGAATAGATGGGGGCGGGGCCAGTCAGAGGTGGTATTCGCTGGTTCTCCGAACTACTCAAAATTTCCGCTACTGGTTCTCCAGAACTGGTCAGAACCTGCTGAATACCGCCTCTGATGTAAACGGACAAGAACAGATAAATAAGGACTAGGGTTCTATCGGTTGGTAGCCAGTTTTTCCAAAACATTTTAGTTCAGTCTGAAATAAGACATTAGATGTGATCTGGCTGTAGATAAGCACATGGAGCAATATGGCAGTTCTGTTCAGATTAATTCCTTTTGTGGAGTAATAATAATAATAATCATAATAATAAGAACAACAACATCTTTCTTGGGAATTTGAAAGAAAAGCTTTCTTGATGCCTGCACTTCTGCTTCAGCTTTTTGAGAAATCTTGCAAATAAAAATCACCTGGCATTAACATTGTCTAATGGCCCTGGCTTGGAGAGGAGAGCCTCTAGGGCAAATATATTGAGCGCTTGAAAACTTTTACATTAGAATGTTGCATATTGGCAAGTGGAATACTGAAAATCAAGTGTATAAACAATGCTGCTGCTTCATGACAGAACACAATTTATTTCCTTTATCAGAAATTGATCACCCACGAGAGGTTTGAAAGTGCATGTGAAGAACTAAATAATGCATTACTCCGGGAGCAGCAGGCCCAAATGCTTTTGAAGGAACAGGCGCAGCAGCTCCAGGAGTTGCAGTTTAAACTGGAATTGCATTCTTCGGAAGAGGCAGACAAAAACCAAACTCTCAGCGATGCCGTAAAGGTAGGATGGTGCTTCTTCGAAAGTAAAATAAAAATAAGAATAAGAATAAAAACCCAATGTTCACCTGAAGGCAGCGTTTTAGGCTTTTAGGACCACAGAAGTGATATAAAGTGCAGCCACTCAGGTAAACAGAGAGCTGAGGTAAAAAGAAAAAAAAAGCGCTTGGATAGAAAGAGGAAAAGAGTCCGTGTTGAGAAGAGAGTGGAGGGTAACTTCTTAAAATTAAATAAAGTATTAAAAAAAATGAGCCTGGGTTTTGTTGTTGAGAAAGCAAAAGGACAGAGGTCCTGTCCCCTGGCCCCAGCATGTTGAATTTACAATGCACGTAGTAATTTATTTCATCCTCCTGACATCTTTGAAAGAATTAGTCTGGACAGAGGGGAAGTGGTTCATAACCAGAGAGGAGAGAGAGCTCGTATTCTTGTGGTCAGCTCCTTTATCCCTAAGCCATGGTTATTTTTTCTTTTGTTTGTTTTGCAGAAGGCCAAGGAGGCAGTTAATTGGCCAGTTGCTCTACAAATTTGCAGTATTTATTACATATGCATGTTTCCCCCCGGGGAACTGGGCAAGCTATGTAATCAGCGCATATTCCTATATAGCTCTGCTGTTCTACTTACTACTTCCTGAAATAGAAGATGTAACGGGTTTTCCTTTGGAGGTTGTGGGGAGAGGCTATGGTGGCTTTATTGCGGCAGCTCTTATTCTCTTATCAAGAAAGAAAAGGGTGGGTGGGAAGGAAATATAGCTCCTTGTATTGCTCAAACAGCTCACTGTTGCAAGCTGAAGGTAGTCCTCGACTTACGACCAGAATTGAGCCCAAAAATTTCTGTGGCTAAGTGAGAAATTTGTTAAGTGAGTCATTCCCCCCCCCCACATTTTACACCCCTTTCTTGCCACATTTGTTACGTGAATTTACACTGCAGCTGTAAATTAGTAAGCCTGTCATTAAATGAATCCGGCTTCCCCCTTGACTTTGCTTGTGAGCAGGTGATCACAAAAAGTGATCACATGACCCCGGGACATCGCCACCATCATAAATATGATCCGGTTATCAAAAGCATCCGAATGCAAATCACGTGACCACAGGGGCCATAAGCGTGAAAATCACGTGTCTGTTGCAACGGTCATAAGTGTGAAAAACGCTCATCCGTTACTTTTGGGGGGGCACTGTTGCAACTTTGGACCATCACTGAGTGAACTGTTGTAAGTACTTTCATTCCAGGATTGCCAGCATCTCTTTGCAAGACTTCCACTTGAGAATGAAATTGATGTCTGCAGAATGGCAAACTGGTTTCCTGACGAAAGTGGGGACACTCACACCCCTCCCCAAATTATCTTCGAATGGCTACACTGTTAAAGTAGACAGTGAGACAGAACCAAGAAGTAGCCGAGGCCGTGAGAAAAACGAAACCCTGTTTATTGAAAATAAGTGTAAGGGTGAGGGAAAACAGATTTGATTAAATTAAATTTTAATTAAAGTTAAAACTAATTAGATACAGTTAATGAAGTTAATCTCTTAATAATTTGAGGCTTTCCCCCTTCCGTTACTCTATCTTGATTACCCTTCCAAATTTCAACAGGGTGTCAAATGTTGATACACCTGGGCAGATCACCAGAGGAGAGTAATCATGCTTGGATATTAAAACGAGTGTTTTTGAGAATTGGATATTAAAATGAGTGTTCAAGAATGTAAACAGATGTTATTTTTTTTAAAAGAAAAATATTTCTCAGTATAACCAGGATCAGTGAACAACACATCAAAGATTATAGCAGGTGGTTTTCAAGCTTTTCTTCACCATGGATTGACCCACCCCACTTTAAATATCTGTTGTGGCCACAGACCATGGCCACGGACCACCAAGGCTTAACTCAAGATTTAAATCATAACATTTCTTCAAGCCTTTGTGGACCCCCTGTGACAATATCACAGCAAGGGTCCACGGACCACAGGTTGAGAACTACTGGATTACAGGCAGTCCTTGATTTACAACAATTCATTTAATGACCATTCAAAGTTACAGTAAAAAAAAAGTGACTTTTACACCTGCAATCATTGCAGCATCCCCATAGTTCTATGATCAACATTCAGATGCTTGGGAAGTGATTCAGATCCTGGGGACATGAGATCACTTTTTGCAAACCTTCTGACAAGCAAAATCAACAGGGAAGCCCGATTCACTTAACAGCCATCTTACTAACTTAACATCTGGAGTGATTCACTTAACAACTGTGGCAAGAAAGCTCGTAAAACGGGGCAAAACTCACTTAACAAATGTGTCACTTAGCAACAGAAATGTTGGTCTCAATTGTAGTCATAAGTCGAGAACTACGTCAGTGGTGGTATTCAGACCGGTTCAGCCCAACCAGTAGTAAAAAAAAAAAAAAGCCTCCAACGAGCATCTGAGAGGATAAAGCAGAGAAAAGCACAGGATCGGCCCTCCCACCCGCCCCTGAGCTTTTCTCTTCTTTATCCTCTCAGCTGATTGGCGCTGCAGGTCTCAGCTGGTGTGGGGAAAGCTGCGCGCAGGCGTTAGGCAAAGCACGCCCACCAAGCCACGCCCTCCGAACTGGTGGTAAAACAATTTGAATCCCACCACTGGACTACCTGTATAGTATTTTTCTATGTAAAGCAGAATGTAAATAAATAAAAAATAATTAGGAATAACATCCGAACTAGTTTTTTTTCTAGAAAAACAAACTGAATAGTAAGATTCTTCACAAAGATGACAACTAATTATAAAAGTACATAACCCATTGATGTATAAAATGTACTGATTCATAAAACAGTGTTAATAGGAAAAAATAAAACTTGTTTATTTAGTCACTGAGTTTGAAAACCTGTACTTTTTAAGAACCTTTAATATTAATGATTATAAAGGCATCAAAGAATAAGGTTGGTAATTATATACTATATACTTTGGTTTGTAAGATATATAACATGTATTACTAAGTGGGCAATATACATTTTCTGTTATTTTCATCCAGTAGGTTTAAAAACTCCGTTGATTAATTTTGCAGCTTTATCGGTTTTAATTATAATCCCATATTTTTTTTTATCTACCCAATGGTATATCCCATAGAGACAGGCATGCTTGCCAATTATGTTTCAAGGTCAGTCAGAACTAAGCATAGTTCTTAGATTATTTCTTGTAATCTAAAGCAAGCAAAGATAGTAGCCTTGCTTTCTCATTTTGCAACAAAAATTTATGCTTACAAGAGCAAGAATATATACTGTTTTGCACAATAAAACTATCTGGTAATTTCAAACAATAAAACATACTGCTTGAAACATTTTCTATGTCCACAAACACTAGAAACACCTGAGGGTTTTTTTGATTTTTTTATTTTATTTTAAAAAAACATGTGGTCCTTCATCTTCTCTAAAATGTATAGCTGAAAATATTTCATGAGAGAATTTTTGGTAAGTTTTATATATTGATCTTAAGCATATATCATCCATGCAGACACTCAAGGCACATAGTCATAAAAATAGCAGAGGCATACATCACTATTACAAATCAAACAGCAAATGGCAACATTCAAAGTCCAGGAGTGGCCCAACCAGAATAAATCATGATAAGAGAACTGACAAGTTACTGACCCAATGAAAAGTATCCTGAAATGACAGTATCTTCACTTCCATTAGTCAACTTGCTGGATATTTGGGGAGAAAGAATTCCACAAAGGGGGTTGAAACAATCTTTGATATGATAGGTAGTCCTCAACTTACCACTGTTCACTTAATGATAGTTTGAATGAAATGCATGTAAAGCACCTCTGACTATCACAAAAAGTTACCTCCAGGGAAAGTTGCAAGCTGCCGCCGCCTGCTGATGTAACTCTTCTTTGTTTCTTGGGTGTGGTTGAAAGAACTCCCTGCTAAAGGATCTCTATGCGTTCTTGCATGGAGCTGAAATCCTTCAAGCCTGCCTGCACAAAGCTGAAATCCTTTGAGCCTGTTTGCACAGAGCTGAAATCCTTCAGCAGGTCTTTTTGGTCTTTGAGGACTATCTGAAAGAGCCCACCACCCCGCTGAAGGATTTCAGCTCTGTGCAAGCAGGCACAAAGGATTTCAGCTCTGGAAGCGAGCACAGAACGGAAATCCTTCAGCAGGGCGGCTCTTTTAGCCAGAGCCGAGGAATTGAAAGGATTTTAAGCAGCAGTGCAGTAAGGTAAGGAATGCAGGATGCCTTGGGATGCGGGAAGCTTGGTGTAGGTGATATGTGAGCCTCACCCCATTTGGGTTGAAAAAAAACCCCCAAAACCCTGAATCACTTTCCAGGTGGAGTTTCTTTGTCTCTCGCAGAATACCCAGTCAGTATTACAAGCAGTTGTATTGTCTGGATACTTCCAGAGGCTGCCAGGTTGGAAAAATGGTTTCTGCCCATCACAATTTGAACCTGTATTTAACATTATAATCTACAGGATCACCTGCTCCATTACAATCTAGAAAAGGAGTGAAAAGGCAATATTAAATTACAACTTCCCCCATCCTCAGCGTCAGCCCTTTGGGATAGTCAAGAAAGAAACACAAATCACGAACACTTAACGTAACTTTTATTATACAGTTACATTAACAAAATCTTGCCAGTTTGAAATTACCTCTCTCTCACCTCACCTTTACTTCCAAGAAATGAGGGAGGGTCCTTTCTAAAGTATTTGCCATGTCCCCATTGATTGTGTGAACTAAACTGCCTCATATCTGACTCTTGCCTAGTCTGCAGTCTCCTCCTCCTGTCTCTCAAAGACATTCTCACAGATGTTTACATTCATCTAAATTGGCCAGCGATGATAAGAGCTGTGAGCTGAAGTTTGGCAACTTCCATGCTCCTGACCATAAGACCAGTTGATAATGCTAGTTTTAAAATAACCATTAATGCATCAGGGTAAGGTTTGCAAGATTGTATTGGGAAGCATTCTGAGTGATTACCCCGTAATTATGGGGTCCTTAATTAAAAGGGATAGAAGAATATGTCACTGCAAGTTTTATCTATTATCCT